ATTTTCATCTTGCAGATACTACTAAAATAGAAGTAAGAGTATCTGAATAAAAATTTTTTAGAAAATAGTATATGCATTGCATTGATGAAGCCATGGTACCATACTTTGGTCGTCATGGCTGTAAACAGTTTATACAGTTATAAGTATAGTGCGTACGGTGCTGGGCCTGCTGTTGTTTTAGAATATGCCGACGTTTTGAAGAAAAAATGGCCTAATGAACCAATACACTTTTTTTTGACAACTTCTTTTCCACCTTGCCGCTATTGGAGCTTCTATCCAATAAAAAGTTGAGAGGCACAGGCACCATTCGTGAAAACCGTATACCAGCTAATCCTCTGATGGATTCTAAAAAAATTAAGAAAGAGCCAAGGGGATGCTACGATTATAAAAATGTTGATGTCCAAAATATAATTGTTGTAAAATGGCATGACAATAGTATTGTCACTTTATGTTTAAATTCAGCAGGGGTGAATCCAATTCATTCTGCAAAAAGATTTTCTCGAAAAGAAAAGAAAATTATTCGGGTAACATTTAGTCAATTTATACAACGCCAATATGGGAGGTGTCGACAGATATGATCAAAATTTGAGCCTTTATCGTATATACCGTATTTTCTCGAATCTTATCCGCACTCGAATCTAATCCGCACCCCGATTTTAAAAATGCATAGTGGTAAAAAAATTTAGTTTGCGAATGTAATCCGCATCTTTCTTTGAGCAATTCGACAACACCAAAACGATGCGATGCTTGTTGTTAACCATAAATATATATTTTTTCCGTTGACTGGCCCNAAAATGGCCTAATGAACCAATACACTTTTTTTTGACAACTTCTTTTCCACCTTGCCGCTATTGGAGCTTCTATCCAATAAAAAGTTGAGAGGCACAGGCACCATTCGTGAAAACCGTATACCAGCTAATCCTCTGATGGATTCTAAAAAAATTAAGAAAGAGCCAAGGGGATGCTACGATTATAAAAAAGTTAATGGCCAAAATATAATTGTTGTAAAATGGCATGACAATAGTATTGTCACTTTATGTTTAAATTCAGCAGGGGTGAATCCAATTCATTCTGCAAAAAGATTTTCTCGAAAAGAAAAGAAAATTATTCGGGTAACATTTAGTCAATTTATACAACGCCAATATGGGAGGTGTCGACAGATATGATCAAAATTTGAGCCTTTATCGTATATACCGTATTTTCTCGAATCTTATCCGCACTCGAATCTAATCCGCACCCCGATTTTAAAAATGCATAGTGGTAAAAAAATTTAGTTTGCGAATGTAATCCGCATCTTTCTTTGAGCAATTCGACAACACCAAAACGATGCGATGCTTGTTGTTAACCATAAATATAATTTTTTCCGTTGACTGACGCTGATGCACCTAAAGAAACCTTGCTTACGACGAGTTTTTATTAGACTAGACTTTAAATTTACCAAGCCAGAAAAAATTGGAAAATAAATATAATTTTAAAAATAAATAGTAATGCCTAGCACGAATTCCGTTCATATACTGCCCTAGTAGTAGCTCGAACGTGGTGTGTGCTTAATTAATAATTATACATATAATAGGGTAATTATAAAAAAATGTAGCAAAAATCTAAAAGGTTCTTCTATACAGCAAAGTTTAAAGAGATGTTATTAAGTTAGCGTTAAGGAAATCGAAAAGCTGGTACAATTTTTGCTGATAACGAGAGTAACGTTGCAGCTGTTGCGGAAAGACCAGGTAGCTATTGGAGACTGTGAGGCATCGTGCAAAAAATTTACCGGGCCAAAGAAGAGACGATTTCATGAAATTGACGAGGCAGTTTTCTAGTTCTCTCAAGAAAAACGAAAAGAGGGACTAAGAATTTTTAATACTAGCTAAGGTTGGAGTGTGGGATTTATGCGCCGAATGGTGTTATCGTTGAGGCGCAGAACTACACTTTCCCAAAAGTTCCTAATGATTTTCAAGAAAATTTCAATTTGTCTCAAACTGTAAATGTCAACAAAATGGTAGTATATCTGGATATGCCACCCAACTACACACTGGAAAGAAGAGGTGTGTGGGAAATTTCTTTATAAACGAATGGTTGCGAAAAATTGCGCATCACATTCATTGCCAATTGTCTGATAGATAACTTTTTAATAGCCATACCGTCGCTTTTTTGATACTATCCGCAGGTAGGCGCAACAGCAAAAACGTACAACTAACAGATCTGGTGCTGCACTAAACCACAGTATAAAGTGAAGCAGTAGTCTCACTTCGTGTCGGCACCTTTGACGTCGTATCCGTACATTTTTTACTGCGCGTCCACTTCGCGCACCATTGAAACAATTGTCACAACAAACTTTTATGTCGATGATAAAGATCACTCATAAAGTAGCAAACGTGGCATGAATACGCGCAGCGTGTGAGCTGTAGCAAAACTGAGGACGCCATATATGGCAAGTGAGACTACTGATTTACTTTATACTGTGACTAAACGAGATCCGAACGGGGCATCTACAGTTTGCATACACGGGCATAATACGCGTGGCATACGGGCATATATATGACGCGTTCCTGTTATGGTCCTAGTATGGAACGGTGTAGTGGGCAAAGACCTTTACATGTCGTTACATCGACAACGTTCTGGAACCGGTGTTAGTACCTTTCATGAAGACGTTGCAGAATGCCACACAACAGGATAATGCAAGACCCCATACTGCTGTAGTTAAAAAGAAGGTTCCTGGAACAGGTTGGATTACAGATTTTGCCCTGGCCTGTAAGGTCATCGGAATTGTCGCCAATTGAACATGTCTGGGATATGATGGGTTGGCGACTAAGACAAGTACCCAGGCCTCCTGAGAATCTGGATGACCTTCGACACAATCTAGAGTTTGCATGGAACGAGATACCCCAGGAGAACATCGACCACTTAAGAGGGGAAATTCTTTTTATGGAAATTTTTTTTCCATAAAAAGTTATCTGAACATCTTAAGAATGTGATAGCAAAATTTTAAAGCGAAATTCTAACTACTTCCGTAAAATAACGTATTTTCCCTACTACTATACATATGAACCACGTGACTCACGCATGATGACGTGATCAAAAAAATCGATTATTTTTATAGCAATATCTTGTTTAACCTCTTGATTCTATGAAGTTTTAATTTCAAATGATTTAAATTGTAAAAGTTATAAACCTTTAACAAGTACGTTATAGATAACAATCTACAAGTCTTCCCGGTTTTTATAACTCCGTCTCTTTACTTCTGTGGGAATAAAACGGGATTATCACAAAGGGCCGCATTAAAGAACACACCTTTATTGCAAATTGTAGAAAAATAATAGGTTTAAATAATTTTAGTTTCAACGAATTGAAATTCCATCCTGTTTTTGTCTGGCCGACTTTTATTTATGATGGTCATACAAGTCGATGTTGTTTGAAATTGTCGTATAATTTCCGATATTTCTCATGGTTTTTACGACCCTAAGAAATAGTACTGGCAATAATTATCACTGGGAAAAATCTATCGAGTTTCTTTAGTCTAGAATGTGAGATATAACTCTTAACATTCAAAATGTCTTCCTATCCGAAATGTAGTAATGCCTCTAGGGCGCGAAAACGGCATTTTCATGGAAATCAGCATACTAAAAAAAAGAAGAAGAAGTTGCAGGACAGAGTGCAAGTGCAAAAAAACTGTCCACTGGAAGAACTGAAAATATTGTACCGAATAGTCAACATTCGTATCGTTTGATAGAGTTTTTTACCGTGTTCAGTGCTTTGGCTAATGTTGTTATTTGTTGCAAATATAAAGATACCTACAATTTGAGGAAGATGGAATGAGAGGTGGGTTCAAGCGCGTTTTGCTTTGTCGTTGTGGGCGAAGAGACATAAATTCGGGACCGTTAATTCAAACTGGTTATGAAGTAAATCGTAGAATTGTTTTTGTTATGCGTCTGCTGGGCATTGGGAGGCAAGGAATAAATTTATTTTGCAATTTTATGGATATATGCAACGGTTTGAGTAATAGTGCATACAATAATATTGTTAAACATCAGCATTCAGCCACCAAATCGGTGTTCGAGTATTTCAGCGGAACAGCTGTTGAAGAAGAAAAGAAAAAAAAAACGAAAGGCAAGAAAGGCCAATTTAAAAGTATCTGGTGATGGTTCTTGGAAAAAGCGAATCATTATACGGCGTAACATCGCTTATTGGGTACTATTCCGGTAAAGTTATCGATGTAGCTGTAAAAAGCGGTTCTGTCAAGCCTGTACATTTTATAAAAATAAAGAAAATACAGAAGAATATATTGATTGGTATGAAGAACATAAAGAAAATTGCATGAAAACTCACGAAGGGTCTGCCGGTAAAATGTTCCAAAATTTGTTTATGTATAGCTTAAACACTAACCTCTCAGAACATCTACTCAGAAACAACCACCAAATTTGTATGGGCATATCTGGGTTAAGAGGTTTTACTGTATATCAATATTTTCTTAAAAAGTTTTAACATTATATTAAAACACCTGTATTTTTTAAATGCTTTTTTTTTTTTTACTTTTTTTTGGTTCACATAGAAGATATTAATGTTGGGAACAATTTAAATGCATTCACAAGTAATTTTAACCACTCTAGCGAATACTAGAATGTTTGAAACGGAACCGCTCACTCCGTAAGTTCCCCTATCTGATCACTATTTGCCGTTCGCCTATAAAAGTTTTAGAATATGTGAATACATATTTTTATAAAACAAAGCATCACTAAAGAGTAGTGGGTATCAAACTTATTTTATCGCGTCTAAATGTACTTCCCCCCTTAATAGAGAGCATGGGTAGAGTTAATGCATGCATAGCCATGCGTGGAGATGCAACCTACTACTAGCTTTTTCTTGAAAAATGTTAATTTTTGTTTTTTTCAACTAAACTTTCATCGTTTCTTAGTTGATAAAAAAGCATTATTTTACCGAAATTTCAAAATTGTAGCCTAATTCTTAATGGGTGATGTATTTCATGTGAAAGTGAGTGTATATACCTTGAAACCACTTTATTGTGATGCGAAAACACAACATTCGGATATAACCCCGCACATAGCGCTGCTTTAACAATTGGCCAACTTCTATTAAATTGTACTAAATTCCTAATGCCACTGGAAACCGGCACCAAACCAGACTGCCTTAACAAGCTAACCAAATGGCATCTCGTCGCCGAAATCATATCCATACAACTCGGACTAACGTAATATTCGCGATAAAACTTCCTTTCCGTCTTAGTTAATTTCGCTTCCTGCCATTTTTGGTACACCATTAACAGGGCCATATGATCGCTGAACGTCCCGCAAGTTAACGATTTCTTTCGTTTCAGAGCTTCGACTTTTTCGGAACCTTTCGTTGGTAAAACGAAAGGATCTTTATGGGTCAAAGTAGCAACGACGGTTAAAACGGGATCGAGACATTTAAAAATTACCGAATAGATTAGCATTTTACCCAAATGGGGTTCGATACAGAGACGAAGTAAATGAGAACCAAGAACGGTTAGGCTTTCGTTAGAATCGAGAGCTCCAAGCGAAACTAAATCGTTTATCGCATTCACTATAACGTGAGTGTTTGGGGCTTCGAGGGCTTTTGAAAGAAAATCGGCTATTTTCATCCCGTGTGGGGCGAGTTGTTTGGTTTGGAGGCAAAGTTCCTTAAAATGTCAAAAAAATTAGATTAAGGAAAATCGGTTTGATTAAAAATTATAAAAAAAGGCTTACATGTAAAGGTACCGTGAGTATTTCCGGTATGGTATTTATTAAAAGCGACTCATAACGCGTCCTAGAAAATATATGATAACATTTTCCTGGAGCGCATCTTCCAGCTCTCCCGGCTCTTTGTTTTAAAGAAGCAATACTAATCCATGTAGTTTCCAAAGTAGATGTTCCATTCAACTTAAACCCCAAAAGAAAATAAATCAAGAAAAACTTATTTAATCAAAATTTTTCTCACCGAATCGTACGATTTCTGTTTAACCTTCCCAGTATCAATAACATGGGCAATATCATCAATGGTAATACTCGTTTCAGCAACATTCGTTGATAAAATCACTTTGCGTTGTTGCGATCGCTTGAAAACGTCGTGTTGCGCATTAACCATCATGCTTCCGTGTAATACGCAAATTTTGAGAAACTTTCCAACAGGAGATGCAGATAAAGCTTCAAGTTGAAGCATGATATCTTCGTAACCCGGAAGGAATACGAGAACCCCCATATTGTTTTTAATCTCAGTTTGATGGATATGTGTGATGATCGCAACGATTAAATCGTGGTCGATTATGTCTTCAAGAATCGTTTGATTGTACAGACTTAAAACGTCATTGTGAACTTGTCTCTTCATGTATTCGAAATATCGAATCAGGGTTACTACGCCGTTATGGCAGTTTTGTTCAGCCATATCGATTGCTGTGCAATTTTGTTGTGATTTTAATGATACATCAGCACCTAAACAATTTTTTTTTTAATATTCTTGTATATATAATTAATAATCAGTCTTTCTCACGGAAGTGAGAGTATAAATAAATGATATAAAAATAATTTTTTACCTAAATTTAGTAATTTTTCAACAAATTCAATATGACCATTAGCCGCAGCTGCCATCAAAAGCGTGTATCCTGCACCACTGTGCTGATGATTAACAGAAACTTCTTCGGATAAAATAAGATGTAAGACTTGAATGAAATTTTCTTCGTTAGGAATTGAAATGTAATGCAATAAAGCTTCATCCATTTCTCTTAATACATCTTGATCGACTACTACAACTTCATTAATTTTATTACTTTCGGCTATTTCATTGTTTTGTTTGCTATTTTTTTTCTGAATCAATTTCATCTGTTCAGACTCATAATTTAATTCAAGTAATATATTTTCGAGGAAGTAATGTTGTATGGGATATGTTCTTCCTTTGACTTCAACTTTAGCGACGTTCCCAAAGTAATTCTCGAATAATTCCACGTCCAACGTAGCCGACATTAATATTAAACGCAAATTCGGGAATTGTTTTATACATTCTCGAAGACTGATCAAAACGAAATCGGTAAATTTATCTCTTTCGTGGATTTCGTCGATTATTATGTAAGATACATTCTTCAAAACGGCGAATCCGCTCATTAATGTACGCAATAAAACGCCGGTTGTACAATAAATTAGTGAAGTTGTAGGTCCTAAGCAACAATCTAATTTTATTTGGTAACCACAAGTTTCGCCAACTCGTTCCCCTCTTTCAATTGAAACCCTTTCAGCTACAGCAACGGTGGAAATTCTCCTTGGTTGTGTGCAAATAATTCTACAAGGTTTATTAAGTGAATTTGAGTATTCCAAGAGGTATTGAGGAATCTGGGTGGTTTTTCCCGAACCGGTTTCTCCGGAAATAATCGTAACGGAATTCCTTTCAATCGTTTCCAAAATAAAATTTCTCATTTCAAAAACGGGAAGATTACTTCTAAAATCAGCAAATTCATACGAACTCGGGCCATTGACAAAAGGGGGATCCCCAAAGCATAAATTACCCTCGCTTCCATTCGTAATAACAACCTGATGAAGGTCGTTAAACGTAGCAGTGGGCCCGTTACAGTTATTCATCACGAAATGCTTCAATTTACTCTTAGCGTCGTTACCAATTTTAAATTCAAATGTACCTTGATTTGAAGTTACGTTTTTAAACATTGTTAAGGTTCGATTCGGCTCTTTTCCTTTCGATTTTGATTTCAAACCCAAACGGCGGCACTTTTCGTGGATGTATTTCCGCTCAACGTTATTCAAATTCGGTTTGAATGTAAACTCGGTGACTCCGGGATCTGCACAGAAATCTCTGAAAATTATGTCGATTCCAATGCGAAAATCCTCGGTGTGCTCGTTCTGCAAGGACTGTCTGTTTATTTTATAGCCACGCACAAAATAAATCTAATAAACTTAAAAGTAAAGTTATTTTTACTTAACTTGTAGAGATTACAACATATATTTTCGGATGAAATACCCTAGTTTCTTAAGTTTTCGATGCATAGCACTACCTAGATAGACTGTATCAATAGACTGTCTGTCAAGTGATACAAAAACCTACAACGACTGAAATGTCTTTATTTACCGTCTGTCTACTGGCGTGGATCTAAATGTTAGCGGTTTTCTTTCAATGGACCNTGCTCTTTCTGCAAGGACTGTCTGTTTCGACGGTTTGCGTACATTTTTTTTATTGTTTGAAGTCAATTCAATAAAACGATCTAAAAATTATTTAATTATTAAATTAGTTAATGTTATTAAGGCCCAATATATCCCGATAGGAAATGACTTAAAAATGATGTTAACAATATAGCCACGCACAAAATCAATTTGATAAAGTTAAAATTAAAGTAATTTTCATTAAACTTGTTGAGATTACAACGTATGTATATTTTCGGGTGAAATACCCTTGTTTCTTATAGGCCCCATACACAGGCAAACAAATTGCGCAACAATCGCTGTATTGCGTTAATTGTGTACTTTATAGTGTTGGTTGATAATAATAGTAATAAATTTATTGACATAATAAAAAAATACAAATTAAAAAAAATGTATACATTTAACTACTTAATGTATAAATATAGGCAAAAGGGTCGATTTATCGCGTAAGCGATATCTTCGAAAGGACCCAATCAGTCAGCCGTATATTGAATATATAAAAAAAAAGAATAAATAAATAGCAAACTGCTACGTTAAATCTATGATCACTAAAACGGTGCATAATATTAGTTGCAAGAATAAAAGAAGAAGAGAAGTAAAAGAAGAAGGAGAAGAAGAAGTTCTCAGGAAGATACTTGGAGAGGAAATAAATGATGTTTTAGATGGTTTTTAAATGTCATAAAGTGAGGAATATTACGAATCTCAGTAGGCAGACTATTCCAAAGGGTTATGGCCTGCACAGTAAACGATTTATGCTAAATCTCAGTACTATGGGTCGGGAACATAAGCAGAGAATCTAACTGAGATCTAGTGGCTAAACCATACGACGACAAGCGTTGAAATATACAGTAATGATACCCTGGTGTTTGATTGTGAAGAACAGTATATAACATAGTCAATATACAAAACGATCTACGGTTCTGACAGCTTAATATCTGTAAATAATTACGGTATGGAGTTATATGTTGAGATCTCTCGAGATCAAAGATATACCGTACACAGTTGTTTTGAAGTCTTGATGCGTTGCGCAACTGGCTGCAGAATTCAAAATTGTTTGAAATTAGTTGGGCGGCGCTATTCATGCGCAAACAATTGTGTTGTGTATGAGGTTCGTGCGACACATTGTGCAATAACGACTGGTTTTTATATATGTGGTGTTATCATGACCAATAATTCACCAAAAGTAGTGGGATGTATTCGTAAATATTTTTATAGTCTAATGGTGAACCCAACTTAAGTTCTTTGAGAAGATTTGCGTCGGTAAAAAGTGATCTTTTCTTAAAACACTCTTTCATACATACTCTCTGCTTTCTTTTTCTAACACCATCTTCCAACGTAACAGTAATTATTATAGCTAAGCAGGTTGCTTCGTCAGACGGCATGTTTCCATGCGTGCACAAGCAACTGAAGTTTGTATAAAATTGTGTATAGTGTACGGGTAACCTTGTTTGCACAATAACATGTTGTGCAACGTCAGATTGCGCAATTTGTTTGCAAGTGTATGGGGCCTATTAGGTTTTCGATGCACAATGACTGACTACCTAACCACCTGTCGCCAGATAGGCTGTGTGTCAATAGACTATATGTGTCTACCCTAATATAGGATTGGGTTTAGAGCAGTAAAAAAATGTTAACATGCAGATCTACATTCTTTGCAGATATATTTAAGAATTTTGTATCGAAATAAGATTTTTAGTTACATTAATGAACATTTAAACTATTACAACACCTCCTAATATAATGTAGGATTGGGTTCGGAGCAGGGGGTGGGTTGAGGGGTTGAAAAAAAAGTTAACATTCACATCTACACCAGCAGGTAGATGGTAAATAAAGACGTTTCAGTAAGTCCTATTGAGGTTGAACTTTATTATTGTAACACAAAATCATGTATAAATAACATAATAACTAACACATAGGGCGATACTCAGCATGTTAGAACAATTAACGTACATTTGACCGATCATTTAGGACAATTATTGAGCATCGATTCGGAAAATATCTTCAATCAAAGTAGTCTCTAATGGAAAAGATTGATATCTATAGAAAACATATTAAAATTTGAAAATAAAGTAAGGCATAATGATTGGATATCTGTCCTTGAAGGGTTGCCATCCGATTTTAACAAATTTCGCAACCGCTTGTTGAAAATTTTTGAACAATATTTTCCAAATGTAGTAAGAAAGTGGGAAAATGTTGCTAAAGGGCCAATCAAATGGTGGTCAAAGAATTACACCAAATGAAACATACTTAAGAAGCACTAGAGGTTATTAATCAGGTTAAGAAAGATCAACCATCATTACACGTATACAAATGATACAAGGAAGAATACCTAAGAAAAGTAAAAGATACCAAAAGATTTCACATTACCAGGGAAATTAATGAGTCAGATAATAAATAGAAGACAGTATGGAAAGTAATAAAAACAGTATACAAATATAGCTGATTCTGTTTCTATTATGATTAACCCTTGTACGACCAAGACTGGGTTAATAATGACCCGAAAACAATATTTTTTTGCAAATGACCCGATTGTGGTCGTTTACGTGGTAACGACAGACAGTTTTTTATCGATATATGAATTAACAAACCTAACATTCCTTGGGATTGTTCGTAAAAATAAAAAGTGTTTGCCAAAAAATATTACTTGAAATAAAAAATCGAGCTTTGTTCATCATATTCCTTATGTACAAAGGAGATAACTTTAGTTTCGTATATAATCAAACAAAAGAAATTAGAAACTAAATATTGTCTTGAAATACAGTTAAAAAAACTCTTGGACAAACTCATTTGAGAATATAGTTGCCGCAGAACTACTAGAAGTTGTAGGAGATTGAGAATGTAGGAATTCATATTGCGAAATTATTTGAATTAATAGGAAAATGTTTTTACAGATGTTACGAAATGTTACGAGATGGCACGTTTGTATGGATCGAAACCCATAATTCTATAAATTTAAAATAAAATTAATTTTTATGTTAACGAGTTGGTCGTTGAGTAGTTTAGTATTTTTTTGATTATTGTGCCGATATATTTCCATCATCTTCTGAAGGTCCACACGAAAACTTTTCTCGCATTTGTGGATTAATTTTACTCCTTCGAAATGCATAGCATGGTTTGTTTCGTTATTGTGCTTGTAGATGTTAGAGTTTTTTTTTTCTTATGTTCTTTTAAGCGCATCTCTAGTTGGCGTCCATCAGAACATTATACGGTTGTAGGATACATTATTCTGAAGCGATCTTTCTAATAAGATTTTTTTGAAATGTTTATAATAACCGCACGGGAACTTTAAACGAACTGTTTTCGTCCTATCAGCAGATCGCAAATCAGACTCAGGTAATTGGTGCCACCCTCGGCGGGTCCGCTACGGCGATGATTACTCGTTTCCCACATGTGCTCACCAATAGATTCGACACGGAAAGAGATATAAACTTTTTCGGTGAATCAAAGTCGTCCGCTAATGGACAATAGCGGATAACTTTAAACTGTTCCCGTGCGGTTATTATAAACATTTCGAAAAAATTTTATTAGAAAGATCGCTTCAGAATAATGTATCCTACAACCGTATAATGCTCTCATGCGGAAGATACGGGACAGCCTGTATATGCAGATTGACATTGTGTGCAGTTGACTTTGTAAATACCACTTAGTTGTAAAATGTTGTTGTTGGATTTTAGGTGGTGGTTGGATAAGATTTTAAGTATAGAGGTTTTGTTATTAAAAGCTAACGTTATGTTATATTTAACAAAGATTTCCGTCGCTTAATGAGTAATGGAATTTTATGGAACAGCTTTGTATATTGTTTCTTTTTCTTGTTTTATATAATTCTTATTCTTTAATTATTTATTCTTGTCTATCAGTTTATACGGGGGTTATCCGTTATCTAAGGCCAATTGTTGTATAAAATTAAATTCAATGGTGAGATCTTCATTTGATAGCGGATAGTCTAAGTAAGGTATTATTGTAGATATCATGGAAGGTTTTCTAAAGTTGTTGTATTTTATATTTCCAGAGGAATGGTCGAGGTTTAGATCGAGGAAATTAATGTTTTTATTAATTTCGATTGTCTACATGAGTTGTTTGGTTTCAAATACCCTTAAGTCCAAATTTTTCGATTTTGAGAAAACGGCAAAAAAGTATTTTGGGATGATTTTGGCGTTAATAATTCAAACATAATTTATTTGTTATTAGAAGACTTACTGAAGTTTCAAAAATTCTATAACCACGTCTTTTGAAATAGATATAAAAATCACAAAGTGGATTTAAAAATGGTGTTTGGTTGCGTTTGCTACCAAACTGTGGATTAAGGCTCATTTGAATCTGAACAAAATGGATTAGGCATGAATTGAAAGTGAATCAAATCTCTTTGTAGCTAATAACAGGAAACTTTATTTTTTGAAAGATATGTTATTTAAAAACTGTACTTAAAAAACTCTTAAACTGTAACATCAGGTATATTTTCGGTTGATTCACATAAACTAGGCTCTTCGTCCCCACTGTCTTCTCGAGAATCGCCAGGAATATTATTGTTCTGAAATTTTCCCAACACATCTCTATAATAAGCCAAATTTTCTACCGCTCTCCAGTTCTTTCCATAATGTTTGCTTAACAAGTTATTTACATCTCTCATTTTCAGATCTTTTGGTTTCACTCCGGTAGGAATTTCTTTTGGCTGGATATTCATGGCGGTTTGGTTTTTCCTAAAAACTCCTTTGAATGTTCCGGTGTCTGAACGGTAAGATAACTCACCTCGAATGGTGATGGCGTTTTTGTTGCCACGTCGTATAATATATCTCTTACATTGGTTAAATTTAAAATGCCACTGAGACACTGGCTTAAGGATTTTTTGACCAGCACCTTTCCAATCACTATCGGGAACATCTTTTCCAAGTTTAAAAACAGTAGCATGTTCTTGAAAAATATTTATGTATTCTTCTGGCATTACAATTTCTTCTTTCTTTCTTATTTCTTTTTCGATAGTAGCAAAAACCCTGTCAGGTGGAATGTAGGAGTGCCCAACCACTGGGAATACCAGCTCGATTGTTCTAATAGAACTGCTTATACTGCTTAGCCATTTGAACAACATACATATCATAATGGTATTTTTATTTTGGCCGCCGCATCCATCGGCGACCAATCGAAGTGTATCTATTCCCTCTAAGTTACTATTGTTTAAAGTGTAAAAGACGCAGCTTGCGATTTCGTTGGCGCCCTTGGCATGTTCATCTTCAGTCCACGTGAAAATTTTAACATTATCTTTTGTTAACGGAAGATGTGAGTGCCCCACTACAGTAGTGAAGTTGTAAATGTACAGTTGTCTACTATAATAGGTACTTTGATCTGGTATTTTGGGCAATACCAAGTTTTTCTGACAATCAAAAGAAATTGTCAGAAGGCCGTCCCGTTTCTCTTTTAACTGTTCAAAAAATGCTTTGGCCCTGAGCTTATGTATTCGGTATTCTGTAGTTAGCACTGTTTTAATAGATGCAACCTTTTCATTTTTAATTTTTTCCCGGAGTTCAAGACACTTAGAGCAAACATCGGTGCTAGAAGATCCAAAGCCGATGTTGAAGGAAGTATTAAAAATAAATCGAAAGTAGCTCTCTTTAATATCTAAAGGCTGTCTATTTGATTTGAATTTTTAAGGGATTCGCGCGTTTTTTAATACAAATCATTGACTATTTTATAGAAAACAACTTTTTCTAACAGATGGCGTATATATCTCATTTTTGCCCAAAAATGGATTTAGGGGATATTGAAACCAGACAACTCACATATCTTATCTATTCGACAATGTGATGTTTAGATGGATTTTTTTTGTGAACAATACATATTGTTCTTCGATATGATTTAGAAAAATATCAGATAGAATACTGGATACCCATTGGTAGTCCTTCGATTATCTCATAGTATTCATCATTAAAACAACAATAATTTTGAGAGACTACATGTTGTAGTAATAAATTAAGCTGGGAGACAATTTTAGCAATTTTAAAATGGTATCTAAAAATTATATCTATTAAGTTCAAAGTATATTTTATCGGAACGTTCCAATATAAGTTGGTAACGTCGAAAGAAAATAGTTTTGTATTTGTTGTATCGATATCAAAGTTTTTTTCAATAAATTGCCTTGAATTTTTGATACTATATTCAAGTTTGACATCGATTTGTTGAAAAATATTCAATAAAAATTGTGCAATTTTTGATGTAGGAGAGTTCATGTATGCAGTATACGATATTTCACGTTCTAAGAAAAACAAATTTTTCAACTTGTATTTTATATAAAAAACAAAAAATTGTTCAACGAAATAACAAATTCTTTTTAATCATAGAGTCGACTGATGATGGCTTTATAGGCCGAAACTAATATCGAGTAAAAAAACAAGCGAGTGAGAAGTTGATCTATATTCATTTTCCTATTACTAGAAGATGGTCATTTACATTATTTATGAGTTATTTGGACATTGCGGCATACAATGCGTTTATTTGGAATTAAAAAGTACCGATTGAGGTGGAAATGTTTTTGTAGGCATGCTACTTATCCAACCAGAAATAAACCGAAGAGAATACCAAATACTGTAAAAATTGCAATTGGTCATCAACGTCGAGGAATTATACATTGTAACCTCAACAAGTTTAGTGAAAATTACTTTACTTTTACACCCACACAATGTTTATTTCATAGCCTATGAAATAAACAAGTTGTGGGTTAGGTATTAACCGATTTAATATGAAAATGCATGATTAACGGCAGAAAACGTGACGTCACATCGAAACTTTAAAGTGATTTTTCGATATATTATGTTCTACACTTTGTTTTTATTGTTAACATCTTTTTTAGGTCATTTCCTATAGATTCAAACAAATCGTCGATTTTTACACTGCTAATTATTAATTATGATAAAAGCTGTTATTGAGGTTAAATTGTTATTGCTTGTGTCTGAAGTTAGTTACAAAATAAACTTAGAAGAAAAATTTAGGTATACTTTATTTAACACCTTAATTATGGAATTATTGATAATTACTATTTAAAAACTTGAAATAAAAAAGCTAACTTTAAATAACTTATTAATTTGAGGTTATGTTGTATGAACTTGACGCATCACAAGCCGCCATGTTTTTTTCTAGAATGTTCTAGAATGTTCCAGAACGTTCCAGAAGGTTTTAAAATCAAAAATTTATTATTAAATTCACCTTAAAATCGCATAAAGAACAAAACGGCGTTCTTTTGCGATTCATTTTATAAATCGTTTTGATGTTTTTCAATAAATTTTAATAAAAAAACATATTTTTTTCAATCTTAAACATGAAAATCGTATCCGAAACAAACCCCTCAAAACGACGGCGTTTTAAATAAATAATTTAGATAAATCTTACCAAAATGTAGAAAAAAAGAACTGAGAGTCAAATTTTTTCACCCTTCTTCAACGAAGAACTAAGCAAAAGTGGCTATAAAAACAGGTTGGGGGCTTTTATAACCGATAAAATGTGATCTTCATTTGTTTTAAAAAATGTCAATTTCCTATTGGTCAATACAAAAATTGCCATGTTGCCAAATAAAATTTGAATTTTGTAACGGATTTTTTGGGGTTAATTATTTAAATATTAAAATAAACTAATTTCTTTAATTAAATTAACATTTTAATTTAAACTAATTCGACTAATTTCAATATTAAAAAAAAAACAAAAACAACCCTTTTTTTGTAAGAAGTAATTAAATTAAGTACAAAAATAATTTATATATTCAATAAATAAACCCAAGATGCTTAAATTAAAGTCTGCAAGCACGTGACGCATAAAAACAAGCTGTAAGGTGATGAAATACGCTGATTATAAAAAAAATGTCTTAAAACGATAATAAACCCTGAGACAAATCAAAACATAACCTTAAAACTTCGAAACGTCACGGAAATAAGAAGTAAAGTATCCATAAAAAATTCTTACCTGCCACGAAAAATTCTAATCACTATATACACATAAATTAATTCTCTTATAATGAATAAAGAAAACTCTTAAATCTAACATGAGACTGCGAGGCTACACAATTCAGGTTCTCAAAACTTGTCGAGACAACAATCTGGTTAGTATACAAATATAAAAAAATTAGAAAACAATCAACAGTTATTAATGCATTATAATTAATATTTAGAATATATTATGTAAATTTAGTAATTTAACTCATTTTAAACGATTTTTTAATAATTATTTATAGATTTTAATTGAAAGTAAAAATTCGATGAAGTGTGTATTGGGTTGCATAACTAACGATTATTAAATTTCAAATATTAATTAATTAAAAAAAAGTATTTAATCAATTAGATATTATCTTAAATTATAAACATCTTAATATTTCTTTCCTGTATTATTTTTATTAAAAGTACGCCGTAGTCGTTCGTCTCTTAAGACGGCTAAACCCGAATGATTCTAGTTCTAGATGTAAGATAGTGTTAGTTCTAGCTTTACACTAGCATTGTTAGTAAAGAATTGTAGTAAATAAATAATTTCAACTCTTTTAAAAATAAAATGCAAAGACAGACGTGTTGTCTGGTTGATTGCTTTGCTTATAATCGAATAAATTTACATCGAAATATCAACAAAATGGTAACATAGCAATTTGGGTAATTTGATAAAAGTTATAATTTCTATGTGAAGGCTGTGTACGCTACAGTTTTACAAGAAAACTAAACGTAAAAAGCAATATTAAAAGTACGAAAATAAAAGATAAGTTAGCAAGAAAAATTAAAGTGAATTTTGAATTGTTTTTTGGTAGACAATGCGTCGTTACTATGGCAGTTATTTGATTTGTCATTAAGTAAAAATGCGGGTTTTAAACGATTTATATTTATAGGTAAGTCCTTATTATTTTTTGAAATTATGAATGTCGTTCGAAGTCTGTTAAGAATTTTAAAAGGGCCTTCGTAACGAGGGGTAAGTGAAGGTTGCATGCCTTCAATTTTGATAAAAACGTAATCAGATTTAAAAAGATCTTTATGAAGAAAAGGTTTGTCTCGTGAATGAAATGACGTTTCGATTGGTTGTAGGTTTGANTATTTATAGATTTTAATTGAAAGTAAAAATTCGATGAAGTGTGTATTGGGTTGCATAACTAACGATTATTAAATTTCAAATATTAATTAATTAATAAAAAAAATAAGTATTTAATCAATTAGATATTATTTTAAATTAAAAATATATTAATATTTTTTTTCCGTATTACTTTTATTAAAAGTACGCCGTACCCGTACGTCTTTTAAGACTGCTAAACCCGAATGATTCTAGTTCTAGATCTAGTGTTAGTTCTGGTTTTACACTAGCACTGTTATTATGTAGAACTAACACTATACCTAGAACTAGAATCATTTGGGTTTACCCGTCTTTAGAGACGTGGGGCTAAACCCAAATGATTCTAGTTCTAGGTATAGTGTTAGTTCTGGATTTATACTTGCACTGTCACTAGAACTAAGATTAGACCTAGAACTGGAAACATTTGGGTTTAGCCGTACGTCTCTTAAGACGGCTAAATTCGAATGATTCTAGTTCTAGGTCTAGTGTTAGTTCTAGTTTTACACTAGCATTGTTAGTATGTAGAACTAACACTATACCTAGAACTAGAATCATTTGGGTTTAGTCCCACATCTCTAAAGACGGCTAAACCCAAATGATTCTAGTTCTAGGTATAGTGTTAGTTCTGGATTTATACTTGCACTGTCACTAGAACTAACATTAGACCTAGAACTTGAAACATTTGGGTTTAGCCCTACGTCTCTAAAGACGGCTAAACCCAAATGATTCTAGTTCTAGGTTTAGTGTTAGTTCTACTTTTAGTTCAAGAAAAGTATACAACAATCTAGCGCTGTATAACAATTAAAACTATAACTAACACTAGACTTAGAAAGTTTGGGGTTTAGCCGTGCGTCTTCAGATCCGAATTTTTCTAGTTCTAGGTCTAGTGTTAGTTTTAGTTTTACACTAACACTGTTACTATGTAGAACTACGATTTTTTAATAACTATATTTATGGATTTTAATTGAAAGTAAAAATTCGATGAAGTGTGTATTGTGCTGCATAACCAACGATTATTAAACTTCAAATATTAATTAATTAATAAAAAAAATATATTTCTTGAATAATCTTCATTTTCTTTTAGCCCTAAGCTTTTCCAAAACGCATTCGAACCCAAATCGTCACCAACTTCCATTTTGAAATTTTCGAATCCATTAAAATAAAAATAATCTAATTTTCCTTTCGAAATTGGTTTCCAATCAAAATCATCCAACTTCGGCTTATTCGTTTTCATGAATGATGTCAAAATCTTTAACATAACGTCTTTAACTTTTTCGTCGTTCTCGTTTAACTTGCCGAATTGGTTGGTATTTAAATAATATAAGCTTTCATCTCCATGAGAAACTCCTTTATCAGTATTCGGGACGTGGAACAATTCGGAATATGAATGTTCACCTCGATAAGCAAACATAAATATGTAAATGGGTGAATTTGTTATTCGACGTTGTACTTTTATTGATTTTTCCATTCCTCTATAAAAATGCCTATCGCTACAAGCCTTAACGAGTTTTTCGAAAGTAATTGGACCGTTTCCAAAGTAATGGGAGCGAATTTTTTTGGAAACGTCTGATTTTTTCGTTTTCTCTGGAACTGTGTAGTTATAATCAAAAATGTGTGGTGCGAAATTTTCCCAATCTTTATCAATTTCTTCTAAATCGTGGTAATAAACTAAAATAAATTAATCAATAAATAATAAAAACAAATACTTTTTTTTTGGACAAATACATCCAGCTGGAAATAATCCTTCTTCAGTAGCTAAAGCAACCAACCATGGTAAATCTTGAACCTCACCATCGGCTAATTGTGTAAAAGGATTCCGTTTCAAAAAAGCACCTTTTAAATCTGGTTCAATAACAGGCCCAAATGGAGAAAAAGGCATTCCTTTAACGAGTAATTCTTGGGTGGCTTCGAAAAGTGATTGTGTTGATCTTTGCATAAAACAATCCAAAATTTCTTTCGAAGTCAAATCTTTTTTATTACACCCCAACAAATTAGCTAATTTTTTAGCTTTAGCCAATGGAGCTTCTTGAATAACCCAAGGATCTAAAGCCGTTCCTCTGGCTGAGTACCCGCGATGAAATAATCCTTTAGATAAACTAGATAAAAAGTGGAAATATACGCTCGCTCCACCAGCAGATAAACCGGAAATGGTAACCGAGTCTGGATTTCCACCAAAAAATTTTATATTTTTTTGAACCCATTTTAAAGCTAAGTTTTGATCCTTTAATCCGTTATTTAATGGTACTATTTCATCTTGAGTGCTTAAAAATCCTAACGGACCTAAACGATAATTTATGGAAACGGTAATTGTGTCTGTGTCCATAAGATATTTTGGGCCAAAGAGAGTATGAGGATGTCCCAACATAAAACCGCCACCATGGATAAAAATTAAAACATCCAAATTATCTTCCGGAGAAATTGTCTCTTTTGGAACATAAACGTTTAAATAAAGGCAATCTTCACTTGCTACAAAAAGAATTGTTATTAAAGCTTTGAGGTTAAGTGAATTAATTCTTACAAGGCATTTCTAATCCAGCTACACTCTCTAAAAATTGAATACAAGAATGTTTTGTATTAGCCATCCAAGTACCCGTCCAATTATAAGGTTCTTCCGGTGGCTAAAAATGATTAAAGTTTATTTTAGACGAAAATTAAGGTTTATTTTTAAAAATACCTGAAATCGTAACTCTCCAATTGGTGGTCGAGCAAAAGGAATCCCTTCAAACCCAATAAATTTCCTTCCATTATAACTGTTACTAAAAAATCCTTGTAATAATCCATTAGATATTTCAATTTTAGGTGCTTCTTCTGTGGTAAAAACCCCCAATTGTAAATTAAGAAACACAATGAGTAATGTAATAAATTTTATAGAATTCATTTTTGCAAAGTGATTGGAGAAACGTTTCGTTAGAGTGATAAACCTCATCTCGAGCTATCTTTAAGTTGTTAGATAAACACTTGACCTAGACGTTTTGGAGATAATTTCGAAACGGGAGTGTCAATAAAATGATCGATTATTGTTTAAAGAAAATTGATATAATTGGATTTTTTTAAGCTTTAAAATTTTTACTTTAAATAATTGTATCAATAATTTTATGTTTAATTATACCGGAAATTTCATTTAATTCGCAATATATGAATGCAGTAACCATCGTTACGAAAGTAGTATGTACTTGTACTGTCCCACATAAAATACAACATAGCTAACACTGTGTAACACTGTTGCTATGTAGAACTAACACTATACCTAGAACTAGAATGCTTTGGGTTTAGCCGCACGTCTGTAAAAACGGCTAAACATAAATGATTCTAGTTCTAGGTATAGTGTTAGTTCTAGTTTTACAGTTGTACTGTCACTAGAACTAACATCAGACCTAGAACTAGAAATATTCTGGTTTAGCCATGCGTCTTATAAGACGGCTAAAGCCGAATGTGTCTAGTTCTAGGTCTAGCGTTAGTTCTAGTTTTACACCAGCACTGTTACTATCTAGAACTAACACTATACCTAGAACTAGAATCCTTTGGGTTTAGCCGCACGTCTTTAAAGACGGCTAAACCCAAATGATTCTAGTTCTAGGTATAGTGTTAGTTCTAGTTTTACACTTGCACTGTTACTAGAACTAACATTAGACTTAGAACTAGAATCATTCGGGTTTAGCCNTTTTATGTTTAATTATACCGGCAATTTCATTTAATTCGCAATATATGAATGCAGTAACCATCGTTACGAAAGTAGTATGTACTTGTACTGTCCCACATAAAATACAACATAGCTAACACTGTGTAACACTGTTGCTATGTAGAACTAACACTATACCTAGAACTAGAATGCTTTGGGTTTAGCCGCACGTCTGTAAAAACGGCTAAACATAAATGATTCTAGTTCTAGGTATAGTGTTAGTTCTAGTTTTACAGTTGTACTGTCACTAGAACTAACATCAGACCTAGAACTAGAAATATTCTGGTTTAGCCATGCGTCTTATAAGACGGCTAAAGCCGAATGTGTCTAGTTCTAGGTCTAGCGTTAGTTCTAGTTTTACACCAGCACTGTTACTATCTAGAACTAACACTATACCTAGAACTAGAATCCTTTGGGTTTAGCCGCACGTCTTTAAAGACGGCTAAACCCAAATGATTCTAGTTCTAGTATAGTGGGTTTAGCCGCACGTCTTTAAAGACGGCTAAACCCAAATGATTCTAGTTCTAGGTATAGTGTTAGTTCTAGTTTTACACTTGCACTGTTACTAGAACTAACATTAGACTTAGAACTAGAAACATTCGGGTTTAGCCATGCGCCGCATAAGATGGCTAAAGCCGAATGTTTCTAGTTCTAGGTCTAGTGTTAGTTCTAGTTTTACACTAGCACTGTTACTATCTAGAACTAACACTATACCTAGAACTAGAATCCTTTGGGTTTAGTCGCACGTCTCTAAAGACGGCTAAACTCAAATGATTCTAGTTCTAGGTATAGTATTAGTTATAGTTTTACACTTGCACTGTCACTAGAACTAACATTAGACCTAGAACTAGAAACATTCTGGTTTAGCCATGCGTCGCATAAGACGGCTAAACCCGAATGTTTCTAGTTCTAGGTCTAGTGTTAGTTCTAGTTTTACACTAGCACTGTTACAATGTAGAACTAACACTATACCTAGAACTAGAATCGTTTGGGTTTAGCCGTCTTTAGAGACGTACGGCTAATTTTACACTTGCACTGTCACTAGAACTAACATTAAACCTAGAACTACAACAATCCAACCCAACCCAACTCGAATGATTCTAGTTCATGGTACAGCGCTACACAACAACTAAAACAAGAACTAACACGAAACCTAGAACTGGAAATATTCGTTTTTAGCCGTCTTACGAGACGTACAGCTAAACCCAAAGGATTCTAGTTAGTACCTACTACTAGTACCTACTAGACGTCTTAGGAGAGGTGCGGCTAAACGGAATATTTCTAGTTCTAGGTCTAGTGTTAGTTCTAGTGCTTAAAGATGAAAAATTATCAAAAAAAAAGAAATAATAGGAGAATATTCTCAATTTTGAGAATTTTCTGAGAACAAGCTTTTAAATACAAATACAGCTCGGCAAATTCAGTCTGACGGCTGTAACGTGACATGGTTCATATTTATGGGATTAATTACTATGGATAACTTATGGAGTGTGAATAAAGCTCAAGCTTCTATCTGTTGCTGCACTCGACGAAAGCATACTTAAGCCGGTTTCACACATAGTCGTAAACAGGGCGAGAGCACTATCAATAAAGAAATCCATGACGGTTTCCAGTTCAGACGGAACTAGGTGCTATTAATAACTAGTGGTGGAACGGATATCCGGTAACTATCCGGTATCCGGCCATTTTTAAAAATTAGGCCGGATACCGGATAGTTACCAAATATCCGGCTTTGGCCGGATATTAAAAACTTATTACTTAGTATTCCACCATTCACAAGAATTAGGATCTCTTTTAGGTGTTGGACACTGCAGATAATAATCAAGTTCAACCCAAATAGGACTTTTTTCATTTGATACAACTTTATTTATATCAAGTTTGTCTTTAGAAACCTCATTGTGACAATCAACAAGAATGTCCTCTTTCTAATGAACCAACCCATTTTAAAAAATAACTTTGAGTTTTTGAGAAAACAATATTTGAAGTTTTGATAAAATTTTCAAATTTTCAAAATTCGCTATAAAATTAATTTCTTGAAGGATCCTGCTGGAAATATGACCAATTATTAATTAAAGTATCATCTTCTTAGTGCAACAAGCCGTTTTGAAAAATCGCTTTTAGTTTTTGAGAAATAAATTTTTGAAATGATCGACAATTTTTTCTAATTTTGCAATTTTCGTCGATTAAGTTTTATAAATTCATATAAAATCCATTTCTTGAAATATGAGTATGAACATGTCCCAAAATGTTAACAAAAGTGTCCTCTTTCCAATGAACCAACACGTTTTGAAAAATAACTTTTAGTTTTTGAGAAAACAATATTTGAAGTTTTGATAAAATTTTCGATGTTGCAATTTTCATCGATAA